CACAAACGTCGACTTCCCCACACCAGCCGTGCCATAGAGATACAGAGCCAACGATCTCTTCTGCGGTGCAAACTCAGCCGAAGTGTCTTTTATACCAGCGTCAACATAGTCTGTCAAGAAAGCACTCACCTACAAATACGGTGTACATGGGATGAGCTCAAGTGTGTCGTACATAGCATGAGATTAACTGTGTTGTACATAGCATGAGATTAACTGTGTTGTACATGAGATGAGATTAACTGTGTTGTACATAGCATGAGATAAACTGTGTTGTACATAACATGAGATTAACTGTGTTGTACATGGGATGAGCTTAAGTGTGTTGTACATTGTATGAGTTCAGCTGTGTTGACAGATGCTGAAGGTTACGCTTGTTTGTTTTAGGGTTTAGGGGTTGTTTGTATGGAAATGGGGTAGAGGTTCAGGGGTTAGGTTTTTCATAGTGTTTTAGGGTAAACAAAATCCTAATCGGTCAGTGGGTGACCAGTAGGCTATACCTACACGTGTGTAAGAATGACCAAACTTTGAGTTGTGTATGTAATTAGAGAAATGTATATGTAAAACGTACATACATACACCCACGTACACTCTATGAAACACACATATATAATATCAACAAAAATATACAAACACATACACATGCACACCCATCAACAACTATGTAATAACACACACACAGCTATGAAACACACATCAACAATATCAACAAGAATACACAAACACATACATATGCACACCCATCAACAACTATGTAATAACACACACGCAGCTATGAAACACACACCAACAATATGTAATAACACACACACATCAACAATATCAGCAAGAATACACAAACACATACACATGCACACCCATCAACAACTATGTAATAACACACACACAGTTATGAAACACACATCAACAACTATGGAATAACACACACACAGCTATGAAACACACATCAACAATATCAACAAGAATACACTAACACATACACATGTACACCCATCAACAATTATGTAATAACACACACACAGCTATGAAACACACATCAACAACTATGGAATAAAACACACACACAGCTATGACACACGCAGAGAAACACGCACACACTTCCTCTTAGGCAGGTTAAAACCCTAAAAACCGTAAACCCAAACACGCACAAACCTCCTCTTTCAGCTGCGGGTCTGGAAAGTACCGCACTGTATACAGCTTCGCCCAAAACGCAGTCACGATCTCTTGCAGCAGCAGCGAGCGTGTGTGTGTGAGTTGGTGTGTGGTGTATGTGTGTGTGAGTGGATCATAGCCACACAGCCGAGGATACATGGGACCATATGAGTACAAGGGCGTGTTGGTATCGGAATACAGCCGGCCGTCCCTGGGGAGAGTGGGTTGGGTTGTAGGGTTGTAGGGATTAGGGTATGGAGGTAGAACAATGTGCTTCAGCAGTGCTGTGTGTATGTGTGCGAGGTAGTTCCAAATGGAATACAGTCGAATTTGCTGGATTGTATATAGGGTTTAAGGGTTTTCTGTAACAAAGACACGTGGGCGGGTACATGTCTACTTGATATGAATACACCCGCACATACAATCAAAAACACACACTTTAGTATGAAAGGATAGTAATACATACGTACATACAAGTAAAACCACATACTCTAGTATGAAAGGATAGTAATACATACGTACATACAAGTAAAAACACACACTTCAATATGAAAGCAATACATACTTGTATATACACACAAACACTCTACTATCCACACATACAGACATCCACACTCACATAACACTTACACATACATGACACTTATACACACGTACACACATACTTCATATTTGCACACACACATAATATATATACACGCCAAATTAATATATACACACACACATAGACATCCGCACATAAATAACACTTATACACACATACACACATACTTGATATTTGTGCACACACATAATACATATACAGGCAAATTAATATATATATATATATACAATGTTAACACACATACCAAATATTCATGCACACACACTTCATATCTACACACACACATACTTGATATTCACTTACAACACTTACATCACATCGATTTAACAAACACATAACAGTTGCACAAACAGAACACTTACATACACATACTTGAAATCTACACATATATATCTAACATGTATACACACACTTGATATTTACACACATATTCCACTAAATATTTACACACATAATTAATATTTAAACACATATTCCACTAAATATTTACACAAATAATTAATATTTAAACACAAATGTCTAATATCTGGACACACATACCTCGTATTTAAACATACACACTTGATATATACACAGAGATACTCGGTATTGACACACATGACATTCACACACACATACTTAACACTTACACACACACCCCTGACATCCACACGCACATACATATCAATACACACAAACCCTTGACGTCCACACGCCCATACTTAACACATACACACACACCCTTGACATCCACACGCACATATTTAACACATATACACACCCCCTAGACATTCACACGCACATACTTGATCTTGGTGACCTGGCGTACAAATGGCTCTATGACCATGCGCAATGTGCCCTCAGTGAGGTTTGTGCGTACGCGAACGATACCCACAGCGGTAGCCTTAGCGAAACTCCTCAGCGCAGAGTTGGCTAGCAAGGGTTGGGTGGGCTGTGGGGAGGGGGGGGGGGTGGTCCATGAGATGGTTGTGGGTGGGTTTAAGATCCTAAACCCTAGAACCCTAAACCTTGAAGAGATCATTGGAGACGGTTATGTTGTTATATTGTTAGGGATCTTTTCTAGAGTGTGTATTGGGATATTTATAATGCTATACTGTTATGTATGTGCGTATTGTGATAGGTGTGTGTAATTGATAGTCGTTTTCCTAGAGTGTGTATTCATATGGTTATATTGTTATAATACAATATATATATATATATATATATATATATGTGTGTGTGTGTGTGTATATATATGTATAGATAGATAGATATATATATATATGTATAAATATATACATTCATATAAGACTCAGTATCCTACCTCTTGCTCAGAATGACTTTTTTCAATATCAGCGGCCTCCGGTAGAAGACCCAGCATCGTCCAAACAATCACGGTCTTCGTATCTTGTAACGAGAAGGCTTGGTTGGCTTCCGCATTAGGCAACTTAATATGCACATACACATCCCCCGACCCTTGATTGCACCCTATATTGGCATTCAATCCCGAATCTATGTGAAATTGTAGCAACATATTAGGTTAGATTTATGACAAAGTGGTAATGACATTAAGTACGTTAACATATATGCATAAATGTATATATATATAAATACAAGTAAATAAATATATATATATATGTATATAAATATATACATATGTAACATATATATACAAATACATATACATATACACACATATATATATGTATATAT